CTTAATTCCAGATTTGTTTGGTAACGATTTCTCTTCTCTTAATCTTAGTTGTTTATTTTATTCCTTTAATCATGTCTTACTTTATTACTTTGATTAGTTTAGTTTCTATTATGTGTGAGTAGTTTTCTTTCTAGGGTTTATAGGGATCCATAAATAATATGAAGGGGTAACTTATTATTGTTAATTATTAATGCTAGATTAATTTCCTATTGATTGATTTAATGCTCTGTGGCTAGATTAGGCCTGATCTTTTATGCATGAGTTTGACAATATTGATTCGAGATTCGACAGATGAGAATTGATGTTTAGGTCTAGTTTCAATAGACAGGTTAATTTATAAATGGTTAGGTCGAAATTCGAAAGATGACATTTAATACCGGTAAATTAATTGTGTGATTATAATACGTAGCGAAAGCCCTTTATAATCTGATTAATATATGCATTGATGAATGATTATTATATTCTACCATGGAATATTATTTATTGGTGAACCTATGCCCTAGATCCTTTTATATATTATTTTCTCCTTATTCTTGATTTCCGTAGTTTAGTTTAGGAAAAATAAGAAATAATAATCCCAACTTTGCCGAATTTCGTTTCAATAATCCCAACTTTGGATTATTCTGAAATAATCCGAACTTTGGGAGTTGTTGATTTTCTTCAATCCCTAACCGGTCAACAAAAGTCAATGACCTATTATATCAGGTCACTTGACACGTGTCAAGTCCTGATTGGTCCAAATTTTAAAAAAAAAATCAGCTAGCTTCCCCCACCGATCAACCCAAATGTCCACCATCACAACCAAGCCCACCGCCCCTCCCCTCGCCGGACCGTCGCGTTTCCCACACCTCTTGCGTCGCCGGTTTCTCCTTCCCCGAAACCCCCTCCTGTTCCTCCACGCAGCCACCGAAACCCCAAAATGTTAGCCACGAAACCCCAATGTCGCAGCCACGAAAGTGACAAAACCCCAAAATCGCAGCCACCCACCACGAAAACGGAGGTTTCACGAGTGGTTTAGGTGTTTTGGGGAGTAGGGGAGAGGTTTTAGGGAAGATTCGCGACCGGTCGGCGTACAGGTGGTCGGATTTGTGGTTGGGGGCAATTGAGAGGAGTGAGAAAATGCAAAAGGGGTTTCGTGGCTGGGGGCAATTATCCGGCAGAAGGAGGAGAATGGATTGGCGACAGTGGGAGTTGTTTTCCAGGGGAAACCCGACGCATTTGGGCGGCCGATCAGTGTCATTGGGAGGCTGGACGGATTCCTTGGTGGTGGCCGATGGCAAGAGTTTTCTAATTTATGACACGTGTCACTTAAAAAAAAAAGTAAACCATTCAACTGGTCACCGGTTGTTGGGATTGAAGAAAATTAACAACCCCCAAAGTTCGGATTATTTCAGAATAATCCAAAGTTGGGATTATTGAAACAAAATCCGACAAAGTTGGGATTATTATTTCTAATTTTTCCTTTAGTTTATTATTCAATTATAAATATTGGTTACTTAGATAATTTAGATTATAATAATTAATTAGGAGTAGAAAGACTTGTTTCCCTGTGGAGTTCGACCCTACTTCCCTATCTACTTTAGTTAGAGGACTTAGGTAATTACTTTTGATTAGGGGATACGACTTTACCCTGTCAAGCAACGCTTGAGGCTCTATTCTCTCCCTGATTGCCTGTCGAATAGATTCGTGGAATTCACGCGTCAAAGGTATGATTATGTGTCTTGTGTGTTATGCATGTGATTCTTGGGATTGGTACTTGTTTGAATATGATTCATATTATTTTCGCTGCGTAGTACCTATAAACTCCTACAATAAATGTTCGTGGTAGGCTTGAATTAATGAAATGGGTGCAAGTTGTAAACCGGTAAATTGGTCGTATAAAGGCAAATTGGATGGTTTCACCCACCCAATTGGATTCCCGGAGGGTATTAGGGACCATGGTAAACATTTTGGCAATTTTTATTTTCGGGCGAAAAGAAAAATAAAAAAATTTCAAAATTGAAGGCTAATATCCACGTTTTTTGAGAAATTTTGGAGGTTTCGGGGCCCAATGTAGAAAAGTATTAATATTTTAAGAGATACATCCCGGGGTCATATAATTCCGTTTGGAAACATATATGATCATTACATGTTGTCATAAATGTTCGTAGTAAGTTTGAGTTGATGAAATCCGTTCAAGTTGTAAACCGGTAAATTGGTCGTTTAAAGGCAAATTGGATGGTTCTACCCACCCAATTGGAATCTCGAATAGTATTAGGGATTATGGTAAATATTTCGGCAATTTTTATTTCCGGGCGAAAAAAGTCAAAAAAAATTCAAAAATTAAAGGCTTATCCACGCTTTTGAGAAATTTTGGAGGTTTTTGGGCCCGGTGTCGAAAAGGCTTGAGATTTTAGTGGATACATCTCGGAGTCATATAATTCCTTTTCGAACCATATATGTTCATTACATAATGTCATAAATGTTCGTGGTAGGCTTGAATTAATGAAATCGGTGCAATTGACCGTTAAATTGGATGGTTCCACCCACCCAATTGGACTCCCATAGGGTATTAGGGATCATGGTAAACATTTTAGCAATTCTTATTTCCAGGCTTAAAAAAGTCAAAAAATTCCATAATTGAAGTGTAATATTCACGCTTTTGAGAAATTTTGAAGGTTTCAGGGCCCAGTGTCGAAAAGTTTTGAGATTTCAGGGGATACATCTAGGGGTCATATAATGCCGTTTGGAACTATATATGATCCTTATATGTTGTCATAAATGTTAGTAGTAGGTTTGAGTTAATTAAATTGGTGCAAGTTGTAAACCGGTAAATTAGTCGTTTAAAGACAAATAGGATGGTTCCACCCACCCAATTGGTCTCCCAGAGGGTATTAGGGACCATTATAAACATTTCGGCAATTTTTATTTTCGGGCGAGATAAAGTAAAAAAAATTCCTAAAATAAAGGCTAATATCTATGTTTTTTGAGAAATTTTGAAGGTTTCGGGGCTAGTGTCGAAAAGAAATGAGATTTTAGGGGATACATCTGTAGGTCATATAATGTCGTTTGAAACCATAAATGATCATTATATGTTGTCGTAAATGTTCGTGGTAGGCTTGAGTTAATGAAATCGGTACTAGTTGTAAACCGGTAAATTGGCCGTTTAAAGGCAAATTGGATGGTTCCACCGGACACCCGGAGGGTATTAGAGACCATGGTAAAAAATTTTGGCAATTTTTATTTCCGGGCAAAAAAAAGTCAAAAAATTCAAAAAAATAAAGGCTATATCCACACTTTTTGAGAATTTTTGAAGTGTTCGTGCACTGTGTCAAAAAGTTTTGAAGTTCTATGGAATACATCTCGGGGTCATATATTATCGTTTGGAACCATATATGATCATTATTTATTGTCATAAATGTTCTTGATAGGCTTGAATTAATGAAATCAGTGCAAGTTGTAAACCGGCAAATTGGTTGTTTAAAGGCAAATTGGATGGTTCCACCCACCCAATTGGACTCCCGGAGGGAATTTGGGACCATGGTAAACATTTCGGCAATTCCGGGCGAAAAAAAGGTCAATAAATTCCAAAATTGATGGCTAATATCCACGCTTTTTGAGAAATTTTGGAGGTTTTGGATAAAGCTGTCAATTCGGGTAAACGGGTCGGGTTTAGATCGGTAAGAGTGGGTTGGGTCAACTCGGGTCAGGTCAAATCGGATTAATTCCATAACCTATGCGGGTCGGGTTTGGGTTGAGTCGGGTCATGTCGGGCCATACTTCTTATCGGGTTGGGGTCGGGTTTATGTTGGGTTACATTCGGGTCGGGTGAACAGTAGGTCGGGTTACATTCGGGTCGGGTTGAATTTTTGGGTTTGGTAAGTAATAGGTATGGTAAAATTCGGGTCGGGTCAATCACAAGTCGGGTTGAATTTGGGTCAGGTCAATAACAAGTTGGGTTGATTTCGGGTCGGGTTTGTAATAAGTTGGGTTAAATTCAGGTCGGGTTAGGAACGGTCGGGTTGAATTTAGGTCAGTTTAGTAACAAGTCGGGTTAAATTTGGGTTTTGGCGGGTTAAAACGGGTTTGGGTCAATTTCGGTTCAAGTCGGGTTCGGTTTAGGTCAACAATTTACGGGTTACATTCGAGTCGGGTCATCTCCAGGTCAGTTCATGTTTGGGTTTGGGTCTCACATACTCGGGTCAACTCGGGTCTAGGGTTGATTTCAGGTCTAGTTAAATCGGGTTTAGGTCACCATTTTTTCGGATTTAAATGATTCGGTTAATAATCGGGTTTGAGTTGGTATTTTGGATCGGGTCAACTTTTGACAGCTTTACTTATAGCCTTCAAATTTTGACAATATTTGGCTTGTTCAAGCCTCGAAAAAAAAGAATTAGGGGTGCTTCTTGCAAACCTCACGTGATCCTAAGAGGTCATTTGAGTGGACAAAATCATCCAATTTGGCTTTCAATATTGATTCAACCGACAAGTACACACTTCCCTTTTAACTCGAGACTACCGCATGCCTTTATGTGATTGACTAGTGGCCATATAAAGTTCCAAACAATTTTATATGACCCTTGACTAGTGACCATATACGATTCCAAACAATTTTATATGACCCTTGATGCATCCCTTGCCATAATTTGAGTTTTTATATACTAGGGCTCGTGTATATAGCCTTCATATTTTGGCTCGAGAGAAGATTTTTGAACCTGGTAAATGTTCCCAGGATTTTCCAAGGGGCCTGAGCGGCCTACTTGGTACCCAAAACTATCTTACTCATTCTTCCACCTCTCGTTATCCTGTTAAGAACTACTGCACCTTCAATCCATACCAAATCAAGTTGCATTCCTCTCATGACCCCTATTGAATATGTGGGATTCATAATTGGTTGCAGAAAATAATATAGTACTAAAGGTTTCCATAATTGTAGCATTTTTTTTAATAACGCGTGTATTGTCACCTTTTTTTTTAAAAAAAAAAATTGAGATTCATTGTCATCTACTCATCTATTGATCTTTTTTTTTTTTTTTTTTTTTTTTTTGACGAAACTCATCTAGTGATCTATATACACCTAAGTCTGCCTTAGGAAATTGCTTGGGACTTCATCAAAGCATTGGGACTTTATTAACATGCCTTTTATGTCAAGACTCCAGCAAATATGATTTGTAGGCATATTGTAGCCTTTCAAGCGATGAACCTGCTTTACGGACAACCTTAAACACTACTATGGATCAGATTAAAATCCTATAATTTTCTGAAATTTCTATTCAAATTCAAGATCTCATTACCAAATAGTAATGGTATGATTGGTATAAGTGATTTATGATATTTGACCACTGCACTAAAGCCAGTCGATAGATATCCTAGGCTATGCATATGAATCAAAATACGATGCATATCTAAATTACTTGCAAGTTTGCAACCTAATTGGGGCAATTGCTATCCAAAACTGTGGTTTATGATGGATTGACTTTCAACTGTGGTTTATGAATCCCTATGTTAGAAAACCTTCCTGGCCCGAGAGCCTGTGAGTTTCCTGCAGAAAATTTTCTATAACAATAAGACCTGTACAACAGAACACCTAACTGAACGGTTCAACAGGAGCAGTTTCTTGAAGAAGAGCAGCAGCCTCAAAACATTCAAGAGCTTCAGTTGTTGCTGCACCTTCAGGTTCAGATCGATGTAGCAGCCCGAGAATGTGCCAGGCTTTATGATTAGTCCTGTCAAGACGAATTGCTTGCCTAATAAAGGTTATGGCAATTGGCAGGGTTTGATCTCCGAATTGCACGAGACTTTGAGCCATGGAAATCAAGCTAGGAACATGGTTGGGATCCTGGTCCAGCGCATCCCAAAATGACTTCTGAGCTTCTTTTTCAAGTCCCTTTGCTAGGTAAAGTAAACCTTGTGCACAATACATTATACACACAAGCATCAGTACTGATGACAAAATCAATCACAAAGCTCGTCAAATGACAGGTAAGTACAGTGAAATAATTTTTGAACAACTACATGTTGGACAGCCACAATCACTACTAATGGCTTTGGACCTAGCCCATCTATTCCAGCTGTTATGGACAACCAATTGACAGCACTAGCATATGAGGGGGAAGGAGAATAAACTTCTCTAGCTATGCTTAATGGTAGTGCTACACAATACATGTGAAGAAATTGTGGATGAGATGAGGGGGGCAATTTTCGGGCCTGGATCCTAACTCACAACAACTAACTGCAATACTTATTAGATGCTTAGACTTTGTAAGACATTGGTCCTTACAGTTCACACACAAAAACCTAAATCTACAGCTAATGGCTCCTTGTGCTAAAGATTTTTGAACACACTACTCACATGCCACTCAATGCTAGTTGCTCACTTGCTCAGTCTATCAAGCAGATAACAAGGGATTATGGATTATGCAATGGTATCTAAAGTACGCATGTAGAAGGTCATATTTTCATTATCTGCCAAGCATCCAATGGAAAAAGACAAGGTTCTTGTCTCCAATCAGTCCAACCAAATATGAACATACAGAAGAGAGGGGCTGGGGAGGAGCTACGTCAAAGGAATGGTAAAAATGGCTGCAAAAAGTAGGTATCAATTCCTCATTTTCTATCAAAACTATCAATGTGGGCCTGCAAGAGAAATGATGGACTTGAATATATCATTTACCTCTGGAATGACATCTAGAAGCAGAATGAGGACATAGTGCCTCTGATTTTGAGAGGCAGACCTCAGCATCTCGCCATTGTGATAGGCTTGTGTACACGTTGGCCAGGTCATGCCATGTCTCCATCTCCAAGATTTTATCTTCCTCCTTCCTCTGTCATCATAATTTCAATGTATAGTCATCCCATTACGTACCTTACCAGAGCAGACACTATGAAGATTTTCAAATAAATGGTTTATCTTATATGCTAAAATTCAATTATGGTGTCTTGTCAAAAAATAATATGGTGTCAAAACAAAACAACAAAGCTTAACAAAGAACACATCAAGTACATTGACTTGCAGTTCTTTTGGTACAATCAGTACAAAAATGTCAAGTTCTTATGCTGATCATTATTCTTTTGCAGTTTAGAATACTTGTAAAAAATATGTAGGCAGAGAGCACAATAGTGGCCAAGTTATAGCTCTTTAATCGCAATCCTCATGATTTATGAATTTCTTATTTCAGAGTGATTATCAAATTTGATGATTTACAACTGACAAAAATAAATATTTTCTTACAAAAAAAATTACGAACCAAGAATAAGGATCTGACATTGTTTGCAATGAATATTCAGAAAATCAATTTGGACTATTGAAGTTATCCAGAATAGAAAGGAGAACAGTCACTAGGAAATGGAGTTAAATAAGCAACAGAGAAATATACCTCTATAATCTTTTTCTTGATGCCAAAAGGCCCGCTACTTTTCTTCTGAACTTGAAGAACTGCAAGAAGATGAGTATATGTCTGTATGGCAATCTTAGTTTTGCCTTGGGCAATTTCGAGTTTTGCTCTGGTTCTCAATAATTCAGCATGTTCCCACTTCCCAGTTTGTTCCAAAGCAGCATTGATTATAGTTTCTGCATCAATGTAGCGCTTCTGAGCAGAGAGTATACGACCCAGAAGAACCCATCCTGCAGTACCTGAACTAGCCTCCAGTTTCAGCAATTTTTTTGCATACGAGAGTGCAATATCCAACTTCCGCTGCTCAGCATTTTCTAAGGCAAGATGATATATGACATTTGCGTCTGTTTCATTCGTCATTGCTTCAGCAGTTCCCAACAGGTCTAGAGCTTTAGATTGCATCCGTGCTCTTTTAGAGTCAGAAGTAACCGATTTGGATTGTGCTGATGACAAAATACCTAACAAGCAGGTGGCTTTACAGGACAGTTGTTCACAGTCTCCTTCCAGTTTCTTGATCGCTTTTCCAGAATAATTGATCCCTTCTTCAGCGAAATTTGAATCTTTAGCACAGATTTTCGAAGCAAGTAATAGTTCATGCGTGCAGTTGTGAATTTCGCGGTCATTAAGAAGATTCCTCAGTAGGTTTAAGCTAACCTTATCTTCTCCTAGTCCATGATAACATAGCGCAAGGCTGCTATAATTCTCTTTCCTGTCAATGGCACCAGCAGGTAATTCTTCTAATTGACGAGCTAGGATGCTTAAATCTCCAGATGTAGATAGCGCAAAGGAAAGATGATCCACGATTGATGGATCCCAGTCAATCCTTCTCTGAAGAAATTTCTTCAGCAAGAGCAAAAGAAGTAGAATTGCCTCTTCTATATTGTCACTAGGAACATATGCCCCTTCCACTTGAAAACGAAGTGTTGGGGGGCTTGCATCAGTACCACTATACAATAGAAAAATTGCAAATTCTTTTTCAAGCCTTGCTTGAGTTCCCATGTCAAGATTCCAATTATAAAGTAATGCATGACGATATGATGAAATTGCTTTATTGGGGCACAAAGCAAGTTTCCACAACTCAGGTTGCAACTCTACTGTACTTTCCAAGGTCTCTTGCATTTTACAGTGGGTGGAAAACCGTCCGTTCAAACCCTCTGGTATTGCAGACTCTATAGTTTCCACAATCACCTGGCATGATTGAGCAGCTTCTGCAGAAAGATACAGATTACAAAATTAGTCTTTAAACTAATTCTACAATCATGAGAAATTGACTATTAAATTATGCCACGGGGGAAGCCCCACAGGTTTATAATACTATGCTACTCAAAGAACAAGCACACTCACATAATGCTACTTTAAATCTATTAGAATCAAGCATGTAGGACCTAGTGAAGTTATCTTAACCACATGATCATACTGAGAAACAAACTCTAAGCAACGTGAAAGAGCTTCACACTGATTCTGATGCGCATGTTGGGGTGGAAATCGGCAGAGTAAAAGGCAGTCAAAGTAGTTAGAATACAAGAGCCACAGCAAGTCTGTAAAATGGATACATTGAAGATAATCCCGAGCCAATTATGTTCTATTGGCATATACTCCCTTCATCTTGATTTAAGATGAAATTCCCATATGATAACGTCCCAAAATTAATTTAACATCTGGTTTTAACATATCTTTTACTCTACTCTTTTTCCAATGTTAAAGCTGGGTCTCATACCCACTTTACTTATTTTTCTCTACTTTTTCACCCTCCTTAATCTCCATGTAAAAGGTAGATGTTAGCTTTAAGATGGGATGGAGGATAAGTCTAATTTCTTGCTCCAAGTTTTACATTGTTAGGACTATGGTCAACTTGACCATGGATAGACTCAAGTTTTTCAACTTCACAACATTAGTTTCTGAAGAGCATTGTTATTCATGGACTTTTAGTAGTTCATGACATAAGATTTCAAAAATATACAAAATTTTATGGCTGAGAAGATATTTTGAATGGCATGACAGAGTCAAAAATATGATTTCTGTGAAATAACTCATGCCTTGGGTCATGTGTATGTGGGTTTGTCATCAACCAACCCAAGCATGACGCATAGCATTAGATATTAGCCCATTACACTATTAATTTAGGGTTTTTTTTTTTGTCCAAAAACAAATAAATAAAGAAACTTTTTACCAATAGTTATAAATTTTTTAGGCTTCAAACATATCGGTATATTTGGGACAAATATGCTGAGAATTTGAGTGAAAATGGAATGGGGGTAATTGTCCAATTGGGAAAGAGTAGGAAGGAAAATGATGACAAAAAATCTTGTCACAAATAAGGTGAATTTATGTGGGAAAAAAAAATTTGCCACGACAAGAATGATGTGGAGGATTGAGAAAGGGGTATAAAGAGAGCCATGAACAATTTTTCTAGGTTAATGGTTGTGCATGCTCTAAGTGAGATGTTTAGGATACTTTAATCATATAATATGGCAATTGAGTATTTATATGGACCAACTTAACCCAAAATGTATGCAATGTAAATTCTTTAGATCCTAATTTAGGTGCAAAGAACTATTCGTCATATCCAGCATCCTAAATCCTGATCCAGATCAATTCAAATCATTACTGAAGCATACCTGCATTGGCTGCATACTTATATGAGAGCAGTGGAGCAATTAAGGTAATTATCCATCAAAAAACCTGTTCACCCTAATAAACTTATTTTAGGGAAAAACAATTTTAAAAAAGGGCTGACAAGTTTAAAAAAGTTTGCTCAAGTTCCAAACTTCCAATAAAGGCTACCCAAGCTCATTTCACAACTACATTGTATTCAGATAAGCTGTTATAAGTGGATTTCAGGAGAAAATAACACACTATACCTCATAACAAGCAAATCCTCTTTCCTAATGTACTGCCTATCATATGAACATAAATCTTTTTGTTTCACGTCCGTATTGCATCTAAATCAACCTCTAAATTTTAGGATGTATCCAAGGTTCCACCTTACCCTCAAGCTTTTACATACAAATAAACCATTGAGTTGCTTAAATTAAACCCTTAAACATTTCTGTCCTAACTCCTGAGTCCCTCATTTCTCAGCAATGATACATCTAGATGCCAACAAGGTAAAAAATCCAATAGATACCCAACCATAAAAAAATTCAAACTTTCCACGATCACTTTGAACCTAATGTACCATCCCCAACCCATCAATCAAAAACATCATGACATGAGACTTCCCTACAACAACCAAGCAAGAAAAAGGCCAACAGGGTGCCAGGACAGATTTCTTACAAATGAGTTATGAACATGTTGATCACCACAAACTAGCATCTGAAGTCCAAGATCATAAAAGTATGAGAAATAAGAAGAAAATAAATTAATAAGTACCTTCAAACCTTTCAAGGGCCTGCAATGACTTTGCTTTGAGAAATATTGCTTCAATAAGGATACTAACAGCATGCATTGACATGGGCAGCACTACATCAATCTGTGAATCGCGTCTTTGCAGATCACATCTCCCGGCTAATGAAACTTTGATATTAGGCATAACTGCATCAATGTCAATACCTTCAAAAACGCGAAGTGCTGCTGCTATGTTTCCCTTCTGGTACTCAAGTCTTCCTAACAAAGCTCTGGCTTCCTGTACATTGTAGCAGCACTCATGAGACATTGCAGCAATTTTGTTTTCCAAGTCTAATAAAAGCCCAATGTAGAAAATTATTATGTCAATGAGGTATTTAAAGATAAAAGAAAATTCCTGATTTTTTTTAAAAACAATTCTGTAAATCAGCTCCTCAAAGTCTTGAGACGGTGTGCATAAAGATGATTTTCTTTCCTTCCTTTCCAAGATTTAGTATCCTCTCTTTCTTTGTTTAATAGAAATGAATAGATCTATTTCGAAAAAAAAATGTGGGAAGGAAGGAGAGTGATCTAATTCTGCAACCAATAAGCACCAACCAGGTCTCAAGTTGGTCACTATATGGAAATTTCTTCTGTTGATACAACGGGGGGATTTCTTTCTTGTTTAATTATACAAACCAACAGAGCCTAATAAAACATAGTTATACACAAATCCTTGAAAGTTTTTTCATAAAAATATGATTATACCAGAAGACAAAGTGTTATTGTCGTAATACCTCCAGATGGAGGACTGCTGCTTTTGTGCCATTGGGCAAGGAGGGGCATAGAGGAAAAACAGTTCAGGTAACTTTAACATAGTATGGGTGTGTGCAATAAGATAGCCCAAGTCCACCCATGCCACTAACTCGCTAAGAATCACCCCATGTTACCAAGTCCGACTATATACGACTAAGAATCACCCCATTGTTCATATTGCATAAGAAATGAAGTATCACCATCCATCATTTATAAGACCTTCTCTCATGGAAAAACTACAAAACCATGGTCACAAGTTGCAACAATTCACTAATTTCACCCAGATGTGGGTCAGCTGATAGTTCCTACTTCACAGTATTTAATCAACAATAAAGACTCGATGATTAGAATAATTCAGATTAATTAGTCCTTCAAAAAGTAAACCATTGATTTTAATGTTTCTTGATTTTCACTATCCAAGACTTATGCTCTAAAAAAAGAAGCAATATGGTTATCAATCAATCTGCTTTCCCTCTGCAAAAAGAAATGGAGAAAAGTGAAAAAAATATTCTAGCAACTGGATTTGGCTGCAGTTGGGTACATAAGAACTAAGAAGCACCTTATAAGCAACCAGATATGCCATCACGAGGAGCTTAGGAGTAGGGGAGCAGAAAGATTAGGATATCCAAGAATAAATGGTGATTATGTGGCCTTTACAATTTCTTTTTCAATTAACAAGAGCTTCCTACTTCCACTACACTTTTTTCAATATTGGCTTTTATGGCATTTCTCACTCTAAGCTTACATTGGAAAAGCAATGTATCAAAAATGTAATCTCTTGTTTCCAATCGCCACATAAGCATCTTGTTCATGCGGCTTTACAATCTTTAACTGGCTTACTTTATTTTATTATTTTATAATTTTTTAACTCGTCTACTGACCCTTTCAAAGATCTCCAAGACTGTCATCAAATTAAGATTCTCTGATTGATGTAGAATCTTTTAGATTCATCACTGCTGCAGCCAAAGTTAACTATATAGCACTAAACTGAATCAGTCCCTAATTATCTCGAGAGTCCCTATCTATCAAGGCCGTTTCATTAGTATCATTATGCATAACTTATCTAAATTCTATTTAAACCAAAGTTAAAAATATCATTCAAGTAGCAACAATATTACAAGCATAAACAGAACTTCCCACCCAATCTCACAATCACAGATAATACTCCAGAAATGAAACACCTAAACTAAATATTTTCAACATATAAGCATGCCAAACAGTCATCTGCATGTTAGATAAAGTGTTCCTGAGACTTTAACCATAGGTAGTTTCAACACTGCCTTTTGGGCAAGAGCACAAATTCTGTCATAAATTGCAAAGTCCTGCATTCTAACATGTGAAAGAACTCGTATGACATGAGAATTTTACGCGAAAGCTCAGTAGCCAACCACGAAACAAGGGGATTTTCTATAATTTGAAGATAACTTACAATAATGTAAGCTAAACCCTTTACATTAAAGTAAGCTAAAGTTTGAAAGGACGGGCAGAAAAGGACTCCCTTTATAGAGATAGGCTATGGCCACATTGTAAACAATTAACAATATTTACTGTTATCTCTTACTTCTATTACTCCGAGAGTGAGGGGCAAGGGAGAGGAGCAGGCGTCAAGTTACCAGTGGGTAGATTTTTTACTTGTAAGCCTCAACATGTAATGCAGGAGAAAAGATATTCCAGGGATTAAAAACAGAAAATTAGGACTAATTTCAAGAAACATCCTGCTTCTTCAACCAATTTATTCTACTCTTTATGAACACTTCTAGCTTAGATGCAGGTTTAGATTCTTGAGAAGCTTCATACTTAATTAGCATTCCAAAAAACGGTCTTTTGTAGTTATAATAGCTGAGTACAGATATTTGGACAGCCAGCCTAATTATTACTCATCAAACAATAAGTGATATACAAAGTTCTACGGCAAGAGACAATTTGACCTTTTACATGGTTATAAAGCTTCATTGATAAAACTAAACAGTGTCTCTACCTTCTTCCTTGATCTTTAAGAACTACAATGCTACATTACTTGTTAGAACTATCCACATATGCAAGATTTGTTTCATATAGAAATTAGAGACTCTGACCTTCTTATTCACAGTTGCATGCATAATAAGTTTAGATGAAACCCTACAGGCTACAACACCATCAGGTCAAATGACTCCAGTAAAAAAGAAGAGTGATATAATAACTAAGTAATCATACCATAATCTAACTTCAAAAAGTGAGTTTTTAGCAAATCAGCAATCGGAGAAACCATTTCAAATTTTAGAAAACTTGAATATCTTAATAATTAGCTTAACAGAACAAAAACGGATGATGTATCATACACAGGTTAGCAATGCATAAGCTGAATTAGGTATAATCTATCAATTAAAACCTCTTAGATTTCATCATTACCCCAAAATAATTACGAATAAATGATTTGATACTTAGAAGAGCATTGATAAGCTACCTCATAGTTCAAGTAACCACTTGCACGAAGAGATAGTTCAGCTTCTTCAATGGTGCTCATATTCGGCTTTGGGACAACCTCCCCAGCTTGACCTGAAAAACCACCGCTGGCTGAATAATCCCTGGTAGCTAAGGAAGAATCTGATGATTCAGCTGCTTCATCTTCCCTAACTTGCTTCCCTAAGAAAATGCACTTCATCATCTTCTTTAATCCGCCTTTACCACCGTTTCTCCGACTCTTCCTCGAAGGTTTGGCTTTCATATTACACACAAATACTTCTTTACCGCCCCGAATACACATAATAAAAAACGTCAGATGAAAAACTTAAATGATGCTGATACTATATCTCTCCTATAAATATACAGAACATACAGAGTTTCTGCAAACTTTGGCCATCTACATTGAGATTTTTCTAACCTCATAACAGAAAGGCAAACTTATACAAAGATGTTAAGATTTCAACCATCATAAACAATTAAAAATCTGGAGAAAATTACAAAACTGCAAATTTCCACATTTTCCAAGAAATGGACAAAAATTCTTCACATTACATTTTTAATTCCAAAAACCTTAATCTTATATCATAAACCTTGAAAATTGAGCACATTCAAACAAGCTTCAAATTAATCAGAAATCAATAAAATCCAAACTCCAGAAACCCAGTTTCTCCCCCAATTATTAAATAAAAATAAATTAATAAATAAAAATAAATAAATTAATAAATAAAAAATAAAATTAGAACATAAAAACCCACCAAACTGAAAAACTCAATCAACACCCATTAATCACAATGAAATGCAAAATTAAGCATCAATCACCAACAAAAAGTCCTATAATCCAAAATTCAACATCAAAAACTCAATTAACACCCATTAATCACAGTAAAAGCACATAATTAAGTTATCAATTAGCAGGAAAAAGCCCCTGAATACAGTACTAAACAACAACAAAACACTACATTAAAGCAAACAGTGAACTGAATAAAAGTAGGAATCAAAGTCATAATCATAGGAATAAAAAAGAAAAAAGAAAAGAGAAAAGTATACCTGCTGTTGATTGAGAAAAAGCAAAAAATTGTTAGACCCAGAAAACATTTTAATCCTCTGCAGTATATAAAGCCTCCTAAATGCTAGAATTGGCCTATAATCCACAGACCCACCAACCAAATTGCCTCTTTTCATATTACACCTTTATTATACATGTATAATATATGGTATGAAATCACAATTTAGCAAAAAGAAATCTCTAAAATAGCTAACAAATCAAACTTTGGTATATATAAGAGTAAATAAGAGGTTGGATAATGAAAATATATTCTAAAATTACCAATAAAAATTAAATTATTTTCTGGGTTTCTAAGCATGAGACTGTCAATTGTGAGAGTTTTTTTTTCATAGATTTTTTTATTACAATAATTTTAAGAAGAAGAAGAATGTCCTGTATTTTTGGGGGTCCACTTTAGTCAAATATGAGTTCTTGGATTGTCATATATGGGTCAACTACGTGCTAATTGACAATGATTTGTTTAATTTTTCGAGTTTCATAATTATTTATACTTCTTAATTTAATTATGAAAATGATTATCCAATGTGAAATTGGCTTGGAACTTGGGCACTTATGCGTAGTCTTTTTTGTACAAACATCATTTTTTTTATGTTTGTGACTTGTGAGCCACTTGAAAAAATTGTGATGCATTTGAGAAAAAGACATAAATTGTACTTGTAGCAAATGATATAATTATCGTGAAAATTATAGATTTGTAAGGAGTGCTATTAGCCCTAATTTAAACCCTTAATTGCATAATGATTGTTATAATATGGTTTTAAATTGCCTCTGGAATGTGATTTTCTAAAACAAATACTTGTTAGTGTCATATATTAAACTCTTAACCTTGCAAATAAAACATACGGACTTAACGAAATGTATATAGAATAACTAATCAAATAATAATTTAGAAGGTCGTTCCTCTCCTTTGTCTAAGATTAATTACGATAATATGATTAATAATTAATAAAGTAACTATAAATTGAGTTCTTGCTTGTTGTCAGCTGACAGTAAACATATTGACAAATCTTGTAACGAAATAAAATCATATCATAGTTATTTAAAGTGGAGATAAAATACCATAATTAGTTTAGAATATATTTGAGCTTTGTTTAAACTGTTTTTTCAGAACGTGTATTTACCAGTTAGAACTTGATTTCACCTTGTCATGTATACAAAAGGACTTAAACAAATGGAGTAGTGGTTGAAGTGTAATAAGTATTGCACAAACATGAGGCAATAATTTTGCACACAAAAAGTCATAAGTAATAGAATTCACCTCAAAAGAAGTTAATAAGAAGTTGGTGAAATCATTAGTATATGTACATGAATTGTACAAACATGCATTAATTATATATTTTTATCTTTCTTTGCAATGTGAAGTCATGGATATTGACATACTATGCTTCTTTGCTCTGATTTTGTCATTTCTTCATATTTTTTTGTTTTGTTATGTGTTTATTTATACAACTTCACATGAAATCCTTATCCTCTTTCTCCCTCTCTTCTAACCACAAGCAAACTAATACAACTCGACAAATGTTACATTTTTCAAGTTGTTTGGATCTTCACGGTTTCTTCTGCTTTGTAATTTTCCATCACCTTCTAATCCTAATTGGACAATTTTAAATAGTACGGATTGGTACAACAGAAGCAATATATTACAACGTAATTTCTCTTTGAGGTAGCCAACGAGTTGTTTAAATTGGAGTAGAATAATCTATTTTTTATGAACTTTTTTATATTGAAAAGATTTTGTAATACTCTATTATGTTATCTATTTGATGCAAAAGTCAAGACTCAAAAGAGAAATATAGTGAAAATGTATTCCTTCCTTTTATTAAGGGTTGAGAAGAAATATCATTAGTCATAAATATGCAATTATGATATGAGCAATGTCATATTAATTGTAAAATAATGACTTAAATTGCTATGTATCATTTAATTTTTCGTTTGACTTAATATTAATGTTGTTTTCTTTGTTTTTAAAAGAAAAATACTCCGTATTTTATGTACATTAAATTTTAATTTATACATTGTTATAATCCATGAAGACGAGATACAAATTTCACATCAACTATATTAAAATGGATATGATGTTGGTATCTCAATAAGACGGGATTATTATATTATATCACTTCGTAGTTATTGAGTGTGTATGTCCTCGGCCTTTTTACCCGTTTTTCCAAAAAAAAATGGGAGAAATGAATTATTATTGTGGATTTGATGAGATATACAGTTAAATAATGTTAGTTTACGTGTAAAAAAAAATATTAGTTTGAATATTTAAAGGATCAAACTTAATTTTACCATAAGAAAATATTAAAACGGTTTTTTTGGCATCCTACGAGTACAAATGAATATGCATGGAAATTAAAAATTAGACAAGGGAATATGTGATGTGTCTATTTTATATAGTGTTTTACCCCCGTCCCATGGTCATAATTAGTAGTGTTTTTGGCTCTTTCGAGCTACTTTTATTGCTAATTGGTGTTTTCTAGTATTTTCGTAGGTTTGGTTGACTTTTGTAAGGATTTGCACTTTTGGAGCATTTTCCCGAGATATTATGGAGCAACTACGAGCATTGAAGAAGCACGACCAGTTTGTATAGCTCAGGGCCGGTTAGAGCCATCGAACCGGTGATTAAGGGCTTGGTATATGTGATACCGGGGCATTTGGACCGAGTATTCAAGACCCGAAGAGGAAACCCAGGTTGGCCCGAAGAATTGGAGCCCAATCGAAGTCCAAATAGTGGCCCAAGAGTGGCGCCCGAAGGCGCGCCCGGCCGGGCGGGGGAAGCAAGGCTAGCGCCTGAACTAGTGAACTCGCTCCCGACTGGGCGCGAGAAATGTACCTGATGGAGAAAAGGCGTGCCCGATCAGGCACGTGTTATTATTAGGAGTTAGTTTTCGTCGTTTAAGTTTGTTTTAGTTTAGGATTCTCGCTTAAGTATAAATACTTTTCCGTTAAGCGAGTTTAGCATCTTCTTTTACTCTTTCTTAATTCTTTCTTAGATTTTCTCTCTCTACTTAATTAGTTCTTAGATTAGTTTCTCTCTCTTATACTTTGTTCTTAACTCTATTCTTAATTCCAAATTTCTTTGGTAAAAAATTATCTTCTCTTAATCGTAGTTATTTATTTTATTCCTTTGATCATGTCTTGTTTTACTGCTTTGATTAGTTTAGTTTTTATTATGTGTGAGTAGTTTTATTTCTAGGGTTTGTGAGGATCCATAAATAATATGAAGGGGTAATTTATTGTTGTTAATTGTCAATGCTAGATTAATTTCCTATTGATTGATTTAATGCTCTGTGACTAGATATGCGCAGATCTTTTATGCATGAGTTTGACAATATTGATTCGAGATTCGAGAGATGAGAATTGATGTTTAGGTCTAGTTTCAATAGGCAATTAGGCAGGTTAATTTATAAATGGTTAAGTCGAGATTCGAGAGATGAGATTTAATACCGGTAAATTAATTGTGTGATTGTAATACGTAGCGAAAGCCCTTTATGATCTGATTAATTTATGCATTGATGATTGATTATTATGTTTTACCTGAAATATTATTTATTGGTGAACCTATGCCCTAAACCTTTTATTCATTGTTTTCTCCTTATCCTTAATCTCCGTAGTTTAGTTTTATATCCAAATTTACATATTGGTTACTTGATAATTTAGATTACTTTAATTAATTAGGAATAGAAAGATCAGTTTTCCTTGGATTCGACCCTACTTCCCTATCTATTATTAGTTAGTGGTTTTAGGAATTACTTTTGATTAGGGGATACGACTTTACCCTATCAATATGCAAGTAACTTAATTATAAGCGTAAAATATTTTTATACTTCCTCCGTTATTACTCGCAACAAAGGGGTATTATTTTAGAGACGTAAAATATTCCTTTGTTGTGAGTAGCCAAGTAATTTGTAACGGAGGGAGTATAAAGCTTTAAAGTTATTTTGTATCTTCTCATGTAGTCATACATGAGTAATAGGCGATTAGCTGGTAAGCAATTACGTAAAATTAAAGTTAATCTAAATATGTTAAAACTTGAAAAGCTTTGAATAATTGATAGAGAACACATTAATTACTTAGCATTTAAAAATTTGGGGCCAACAAGTGCAACAACTTAAATATAAAATTGACAACTAGTTCACTGATTATTTAATCAATACAACAATACATTGAATCCATTATGAGCAGCAGTACAATTGTAGTAGCTACTGGAGTATAATTAAAAAGAAATTAAGCAAGTTTATCTAGAAACTATAGAATGAGTTACACCAAATAATCAACAAACCATGCTTATAGAAAATGATAAAAAAGAAATACAAGTACATCTTTTACTTAGGCTCTTAATAATTGGCAACAATACCAATTCAGCTCCATGCATGGATGTGGTCGCTCATGCATGAAATTCTCTCTCGTGTAGCATGTGCTTGATTAGAAAATGAAGTCTCTACCTTAGTAGTGTCCTCCAATCCCACCGCCACCACCTCCACCACCTCCAAATCCACCACCACCACCAAAGCCGCCACCAGAGCCTATTCCTCCTCCAAATCCACCACCTTTACCGAATCCTCCTCCGATGCCACCACCTTTACCGAATCCTCCTCCAATGCCACCACCTTTGCCGAACCCTCCTCCAATGCCACCACCTTTGCCGAACCCTCCTCCAATGCCACCACCTTTACCGAATCCTCCTCCGATACCACCACCCTTTCCAAATCCACCTCCGACTCCGCCCCCTAATCCTCCACCTTTTCCAATTCCACCACCAATACCGCCACCCTTTCCAAACCCACCTCCGCCTCCAAGTCCTCCACCTTTTCCAATGCCACCACCTAAACCACCACCCTTTCCAAAACCACCTCCACCTCCGATTCCTCCACCCTTTCCAATGCCACCTCCAATTCCACCTCCCTTACCAAAACCTCCTCCACCGCCTAGCCCTCCACCTTTCCCAATTCCTCCACCTAATCCACCACCCTTTCCGTATCCACCACCAATACCTCCTCCTTTTCCAATTCCACCACCAATGCCCCCACCCTTTCCAATTCCACCACCTAGTCCACCACCCTTTCCATATCCACCTCCAATACCTCCTCCTTTACCGATTCCACCACCAATGCCCCCACCCTTACCAATTCCACCACCTAATCCTCCACCCTTTCCATATCCACCACCAACTCCGCCACCAATTCCATGGCCACCACCAACTCCGCCACCTAGTCCTCCACCCTTTCCATATCCACCACCAACTCCGCCACCTATTCCATGGCCACCGCCAACTCCACCACCTAGTCCTCCGCCCTTTCCATACCCACCACCAACTCCACCACCAATTCCATGGCCACCACCTAGTCCCCCACCCTTTCCATATCCACCACCAATCCCTCCACCAACTCCATGGCCACCACCAACTCCACCACCTAATCCCCCACCCTTTCCGATTCCACCACCAATGCCGCCACCTTTACCGATTCCACCACCAATTCCATGGCCACCTCCAATGCCTCCACCAACTCCATGTCCACCACCAACTCCGCCACCGATTCCATGGCCACCTCCTAAACCTCCTCCACCACCACCTCCTAATCCACCGCCGCCGCCACCACCTAGTCCACCACCACCACCGACACCTCCACCAAATCCTCCTCCACCACCATATCCTCCGCCACCTCCAAATCCACCACCACCACCTCCTCCACCGCCACCGCCTCCACTTCCACCGCCACCTCCGCCAAACCCTCCACCAAATCCACCTCCCTTGCTAAAAAGAAACTTCTCGTCCTCATTCTTCGTTGTCTCCAAACTTCTTGCACTCACACTTGATACAAAAACATGAAAGCAAACTAAAAACAACAAAGAAAGTCTCTTAGTCCCTCCCTTCATATTGGAGATAGATAAATCAAAAGAAACTTGTATCACAAATAATAAAGGAGGAGGATTTTGTTTTGTCTATGTTGAGCAAAACATACAAACTTTGAGGAACTTTATATAGAGTTTGTAATTGGCTAATATCATTACAAGTGCATTAAATTCTATCAACAACCAACTGTTGTACGTAGTATGGTTGATATTATTTGATAATTTTACATTATTTCTAAATTATATTATCACCGATTTTATTCATTATCGTGCATTTATTACTTTCAAGGAACGACTTCTTTTTTTTATGCTACTACTTTTAGCACGGAATTGAAAATCACAGCTACTTGTACTGTTGCATTGTTACTGATTTTGATTGCTAACCAATTAACATCCCTTTTGTTGTATACTACATACGATGCATGAAATTTGTGAAAATTCACTACAACTAGATTCTATTTATCTCCTTTTAGTTTAGGCAATTGCTTTTTCGTCCATTCATATTATGTACCAACATGTTAATTTATTAGACCACGTCTTATCATAAAAAATTATAATGCACCACCAGTGGCGGAGCTAGGGTGGGTTCAAGTGGGTTCATTGAACCCACTGTTTTTTTGAAAAAAATTTAAAACTTTTTTTTAAAAAAAAAAAAATCAAAATAAGTTTAAATAGAATATTTGTGTATTATATGACAACAAGTAAAGTTGTAGCCCAGTGGTTATTTTTACCTCCAATCACACAAGAGTTTGTGGGTTCAAAACCCATAACTCACACTTTTTTTTTTTTAATTTTGTTTCCTGAGCTTTCCCTGCTTCCAGCTTTCCTCTTCCTCATTCCCCCAAATTGCAAAACCCTAACTTCTTCCTCCTTCTCTTAATCTCTTCCCGTTCTTCCTCCATCAGTCCTTCTCTTCCCGTTCTTCCTCCTTCTCTTCCCGGCGCAACACGGCAGCAGTCAGCAAAACGCCAGAACACGGTGGCAGCGGCAGCGCACCAGCCACTCACCCAGCAGGCCAGCAGACCCACCGTCGTCCGTCACAGCACTGACAGCCTCACAGCCGTGTATCGGTGTATGTAGGTAAGTGAATTTGGGGATTTTTTTTTTTTGCAAATGTAATTTACTTCTTAATTTGGGGATTTTTTTTTTGCTAAATCATTGAATACTTGAAATTCATATGCTAAATTGCTAATATACATTACGAATTGCCAATTTTTTGTAAATTGCTGAAGTTTGGTTATAATTATCTAATTTACTTCTCAAGTTCTCAATTTGGGGATTTTTTTTGTTACATTGTTGAATTTCATATGCTATTTTCTGTATTTCGTTTTCTGCCTTCTAGTTTTCATAATTTCATATGCTATTTCGTTTTCTGCCGTCTAGATTTCGTTTACTAATTGAGTAATTGACTGTAATCTTTAATTACGATAGTTTTAATTAGCTTTCTAGATTTATCATTCATTCATTGATTTCATTCTGCATTTATCATGTGTGTGTAGCAGACTAGCAGTATATACCTATTATACCATGAGTTTAGAGTCATTTTGGAAACGTGTCTGGAAGTCACAAAAGTCTTCAACTTGTTCTTCACCTAGTTCAAGGGATCCTCCAATAGAAGAACATGTGTCTCCTAATGATGATGAGGTTCCTATTGCTGCAACAATTCCACCACCTGAGAACACAGGTCCAAGTGTTCCAAATACTACTGTTGACTCCGATGATACTCGCATTTATGATGTTGATCTTCTTCCACATGACCCTGGAAAAAGAATTCCAATTATGGAGTATCCTCCTAATGATCGAGATGCCGTAAGGAGAGGCTATATTACAAAGAAACGTTGTGATTCACGCACACATAATTTTCCTCAAAGAAAAGTTGGAGGTATGCGCTGTTTTAATGTTACTTGGTTTGATAAATATGAGTGGCTTGAATATAGTGTTGAGAAAGATGCGGCTTTTTGTTTTGTGTGCTATTTGTTCACTGATAAAGTTGATTATTCTTTGGCTGTTAATGATTCCTTTATTAAAGGGGGATTTAGAGGATGGAATAAGACTGGTAGATTTGATGTTCATGTGGGTGGTATTGGTAGTTTCCATAATCAGGCTAATGAGAAATATAGTATGTTTATCAACCCAAAGACATCAGTTGCTGAATCTCTTTGCACTTATTCTAAGGAAGCTAAACTACAATACAAATCTCGCTTGACTTATTCATTGAAATGTATTAGATTTCTTTTAAATCAAGGTTTAGCTTGTCGTGGGCATAATGAAAGTGAAGAATCTTGGAATAGGGGTAATTTTCTTGCACTCTTAACATGGTTTTCAGAAAATAATAGTGAGGTAGCAAAGGTTGTTCTAGGTAATGCCCCGGGAAATAATCGAATGACTAGTCCTTCAATTCAAAAAGAACTTATTAATTGTTGTGCCAAAGAAACCAATAGACTTCTTATTGATGATATTGGGGATGACTATTTTGGAATAATGGCTGATGAATCAAGTGATGTATCTCAAAAGGAACAAATGGCCCTTTGCTTGCGTTATGTCAATAATAAAGGGAAGATAAATGAGAGGTTTCTTGGAATTGTACATGTTAAGGATACTACTGTTTTGTCACTAAAGAGTGCAATTGAGTCTTTGCTTATGGAATATTCATTGAGTTTGTCTAGAGTTCGTGGACAAGGTTATGACGGTGCTAGTAATATGAGGGGGGAGATAAATGGTCTCAAGACTTTGATCATGAATGAAACAGAACAAGCCTATTATATTCATTGTTTTGCTCACCAACTTCAATTAACCCTTGTTGCTGTTGCTAAGGATAATGATGATTGTATTTGGTTGTTTGATCAACTTGCTATTTTGTTGAATATTATTGGTGTTTCTTGTAAGCGAAGGGAAATGATAAGAGAAATACAATCTCAACATATTCTACAAGCATTAGAACTAGGAGAAATTGAAAGTGGGCAAGGTTTAAACCAAGAACATGGCTTAGGTAGGCCTGGTGATACTAAGTGGGGATCACATTACAAAACTGTTTCAAATGTTACCGCATTGTATGCTACTATTGTTAAAGTTCTTGAGAAGATTGGATCAAATAAGATTTATAAGGATGATCGCGTGAAGGCTATCACTGTCATGTCTACATTTGAATCATTTGAATTTGTATTTATGATACATTTGATGTCCGAAATATTTGGGATTACTGATAAATTGTGTCAAGATCTGCAAAAGGGGGACCAAGATATTGTTAATGCCATGACATATGTTAAATTGACTAAGGAGGGATTACAACAAATGAGGGACCATGGTGGGAAGACTTTTTACATCTTGTGGTTTGTTTTTGTGTTAAACATGATGTAGAAGTTCCTACTATGGATGATATGTATGTTCCTCGTGGAAGGTCAAGACGCTTCTTTGCCAAAGTTTCAAATATTCATCGATTTCGGGTAGAAATGTTTATAAGTGTCATTGATTTACAACTCCAAGAGCTCAATAGTAGATTTGATGAAGAAAATATGGAGTTACTTATTTGTGTGTCATGCTTAAACCCGATCAATTCATTTGCGGCATTTGATATGCAAAAGTTGTTGAGACTTGCTGAGTTATATCCCAAAGAGTTTCCAACTAATGATATGACGATGACTGCACTTCGTCATGAGCTTCAATTTTATATTAATGATGTGCGCCAAGATGCAAGGTTTGGAGACTTGAAGGGTATTCATGAGCTTTCTATGATGCTTGTTGAAACAAATAAGCATACTACTTACAACTTAGTTTACTTGCTTATAAGACTAGCATTGATCCTTCCGGTTGCAACTGCAAGCGTGGAACGAGTGTTTTCCTCAATGACATACGTAAAAAATAAGTTGCGAAATAGTATGGGTGATCAACTATTGAATGATAATTTAGTCACTTTTCTTGAAAGAGATTTATTTTCAAGAGTTAGTGATGATGATGTATTGGAACGCTTCCAAAATATGAAGACTCGAAGAATGCTTCTGTAGTCTTTTTTTTTTTTTTTTTTCATTTTTCTATGTGTAATCTATTTGTAATCCATAGTTTGAACTTATTTATGTACTGAATATTTAATTATTGTATTTTTATTCCTTTGTGAATTATGATTTTAAATTTCGGAAGTTTCGAACCCACACTTCGAAAATCCTGGTGACGCCACTGTGCACCACACTAATAATTGGTGAATCATGAATGGTGTTACCGTACTATATGTTATAATATTGATGTAGAATATTTTGGGCTTGAATTGTATGGTCACTTTAGAATATGTGAATATCAATGATCAATGCAATATAATTATCAACAGGCTTATATTCAATAAGTATATACGTGTAACAATTTATTAATACTAGTATATCGTTATATTTGAAGATACATAACTTTAAAAGATATTTAATTCAGTAGAGATCGTTCTTATTAATCAATATATTTTTTTCTTATGTATAAAATCTCGATCCTAGTCTTGATTCCGATAATCCCATTATCGAAAAACTTGAAATAGTTTTTTAAACGTAATTAATTGTTAGTTGATGACAGGGTATGTAATTAATGGCCTGCTTATAAGATAATTAGCATGCATGCATGTACGACCTGAGTAGTGGAATTTTACGTACACCTAACCACGTTGATGTTAGTTACCAAGCATAGGGTTTTACATTATTCTCTTACAAAAAGTACCAAAAGTAAATAAATTAAAGAGTTAGATGAAAATTAAGAGCCTGTAAATTCGTTATATATAAATTCAAATTGGAAGAAATAAAATTACAGTACTTGAGTTAAGAAAAAGATTTTTACACTCTTTACAAAAAGTACCAAAAATAGTGTTTGTGACAAAGTAATGAGTAATGACATAAAACAAATTAATTATTACGAGTATCTTTAACAAAACCCTCAAGCTAATACATACAGTAGTATATGACTAATTGTTTGGTTATCTAAGATAGGTTGATTAGAATTAATCTATCTATTACATATTACTAAAGGCGAATCTAAAATGACACTTGACAGCATTGTACGGAGTATTTTCCCTCCAAAAGTATTTACTTAAAAAAAATCATACTATAATGAATGATCATTGTATCTAAATAACGAGATTTGTTTTACATAAAATCTAATCTAAACTTTCTAAAAAATTATATATATTTTTTTTGAAAGCAAATATTATATTGTTTATTATAACTATTTTATGTGGTTATTTCCAATAATATACTTCATACTTTCTAATAATTAGTGTCGAGTCCTTATTTTTGTATGTCGTTTTATAATTTTGTTGTATTATAATTACTCCGTATTAAACTATCATGCATCTATTGCACCGGAATTAATGTTGTACTTCATTATACTAGGGTGTCCTTCGCTCGCGATGCGCGCGGAGGGACTAGAACTTGCGGAAAATTTGTATTGGCGTGTATTTATACCGTTAGTTTGGGTAGACCTGGTAATTTTAATACTTACACTATTTGGCATGTGTCTATGTGGTGAATTTGTAGAATAGTATAAGAAAGCCACCAAAATCTTTTAAGACAATTATTTTTTAAAACACTAAAAAGTTTGATAGTGTTATTTCAAAATTACTATTAAGTAATATTTAATTAATTTGCATCCCTTCATATTTTAAGCGCCAAGTGTTAGTTTAGAACTCTTAATTGATGTGCATATTTCAATAATACTATATGTAATATTTCTAACGTGTTTTTCTTTAAATGATTTTTTTTGTGAGCTGTGGTCATTTGGACTATGGAGTAATAATATGTTAAATGTTTCAGCTAAATTAAAAATTAATAATGTATATTTTTCCTCTTAAATACTCTCAAAATTAATACCAGCTATGTTTTTTCTACCATTGATTTCCCTTGATTTTAGGATTTTTAAGTTCTTTATAGCTCTTGATAACATACATCTGCTAAAATATCAGTGTATATTTAATATAAATTTCATTCAAATTCTATAACGTTGTTAATATGCACATTTCAAAAGCTTATAAACCTTAACAATAGTTGTAATTAAAGGACAACAAGATAGTAAATAAGAAGAGCAACTACAAAAGAGTAAAAATAAACAGTCTCTTGATAATAAACTGTCTCTTTGTACATACAATTTTTTTTCTTTTTAAATAATTATAATATCATATGAAGTGTAAAACATTAGAATTTTTTATTAAAAAAATGTTTTTTGTTTTTTTTTTTTTAAAAAAAACTGAATTAATTGATGATATATCATATAAGTTTAATGAAAAAAAAAACATTAAATACATTAATGATAGTAAACATATTAATTAATGAGGGTAAAAAAGTAAATACACATTTTGTACACAATTTTGAGGGTATACTTGGTAGCACACTATTCCTAAGAGTTATCTTCTACTCCGTATTTTTTATAAGGTAGGGATAATTTAGTAAAATCCGTGCTTTGCACGGGAATTCAATTAGTATAAGTAATACTCCGATCTGTATAGTATTTGTATTCTATAAAAGTACTTTTTTTTAATGTACGAAGTATTAAATTATGAATACATGTAAAAACTTCAAAAAAAAAAAAAATTACATGCTCGGATCGTTATCAATAACTATATACTAAAGGCGAATAAAAAATGACACGTGGCAAAATTTGGTTTAATAATTTCCTCCACTTTTTTTTTCCTTTATTTGTCATATTATCTTAGGCAATTTTAATACACTATAATATTTCTTTCCTACTTAAACGCAATCTTTCCGTCCCAAATTCAATAAAACATTTTTGTAACAACTTATAGAAAATTTAAGCAAAATAATATTATTTAAAAAGATATGCATAATTTTTAATATAATTAGCAGAATATCGAATTTTTTCATACTTATTATAAAAAAAATCATAAAAAATCATCAATAACTATATACTAAAGGCGAATAAAAAATGACACGTGGCAAAATTTGGTTTAATAATTTCCCTCCACTTTTTTTCCCTTTTTTTGTCATACTATCTTAGGCAATTTTAATATCAATCAATAACTATATACTAAAGGCGAATAAAAAATGACACGTGGAAAAATTTGGTTTAATAATTTCCCTCCAATTTTTTTTTTCCTTTTTTTATCATATTATCTTAGGCAATTTTAATATCAATCAATATCTATATACTAACGGTGAATAAAAAATGACACGTGGCAAAATTTGGTTTAATAATTTCCCTCCACTTTTTTTTTCCCTTTTTTTGTCATATTATCTTAGGCAATTTTAATATCAATCAATAACTATATACTAAAGGCGAATAAAAAATGACACGTGGCAAAATTTGGTTTAATAATTTCCCTCCACTTTTTTTTTTTTTTTTTTCCTTTTTTTGTCATATTATCTTAGGCAATTTTAATATCAATAACTATATACTAAAGGCGATTAAAAATGACACGTGATAAAATTTGGTTTAATAATTTCCCTCCTCTTTTTTTTTTTCCTTTTTTTGTCATATTATCTTAGGCAATTTTAATACACTATAATATTTTCTTTCCTACTTAAACGCAATCTTTCCGTCCCAAATTCAATAAAATATTTTTGTAACAACTTATAGAAAATTTAAGCAAAATAATATTATTTAAAAAGATATGCATAATTTTTAATATAATTAGCAAAATATCGAATTTTTTCATACTTATTATAAAAAAAATCATAAAAAAGTTGTTGAAATAAAAATATTTATAAATTTTGGTAAATCCGTGCAATACCATAAGCTAGTTTTGTTAAAAAGGAAAGACTACAAATGGATTTTAAAAAGTTATTAATTGGGATGTCTTAATCAAATTACTACTTGCAGAGAAGGAGGAAACAACAGTGATGTTGAAGCTAATTACCCTAATTGTCCCTTAATTATTAAAAGGTGTTTGTGCAATCCAGCTAATCAGGAAATGCTCAACTTCACTTCTCTTCTCTGTAAATTTTATTACTTCATCTACCAATGGATTAAAAAGAATATTAATATTTTAATAAAATTATCTATATTATATTTAATTCATATATGACTAATAGTGAATTATTAGTGAATTATTAATTAGTAAATTATGGCATCCCCCAAACAAAAAACTACTAGTATCTTAATTTAAGGGCTACAATTAGATTTTTGTTTTTCAATTAATCAGGTGACTTTATGTTGGAATAAATTTCCAACATTAATGTTATATATATGTGGATGAATTCTCCCACGTGGAAACAATAAGGAGGAACGGAGGAAGTAAGTGGCTTATATACTAAACCCTTGAATATGAGTTATAAAATGGGCTAGTGTGGTTTATGGTATTGTAGAAAAAATGTTAATCTTGTTCCAAGAAATTAAAATTAAAAAATCAAGGAATAAAAATGAAAGAATATAAATTGAGAACTTTTTTGAACTAGTATACCGAGTGAGCAATTGCTTGTGACTTGAAATATACTACATAATTAAATATGAATTTATACTAACTTATTTTTCTTGAAACTTAAGTATCCTTATTGATTAATACTATGGGCCTAATCTCTTCAGCTTATTTTCAGTTCAGTTCAACTCTAATCAGTTCAGTTCTTAATTTTCTTTTCTCATAAATATTTAGTTCAGTTCAGTTCAACTTCCATTCCATAAGTTCAGTTCAGCTTCCATAAGTTCAGTTCAGTTCAGTCAGAACAAGCCCTAGGTACATCATTTTATTTTGTTGATTGCAATTGAATTAGCTATACAAACCAATGATAGCTTGAGACTTTGAGACAAGGTGTTTGTTATTAGTTTGTGTAACAAAAAGTACACTAGAAAAGAGAATGAAGCAAGTTTTGTTTTGGTAAAAATTGCATGTTGTAATAACTGTAGTCGTTGAAGCTTTAATAAGAAAATTCTAAGTATTTTGGTATATTTTTAAGTTGCTTCCTCAACTTTCCTACCCATACTAAATCATGATACATACTATATACGTAATTATTAAATCGGGTGTATTAAAAGTTCGTTTGTTTTTTCTTGGATTTCAATTGATTAGTTCTTTTCAAACAAGCTGTGA